AATGAATTAATTAAAATTGCAACACTAAAAAAAGTTAAAGTTAACACGAAATTTATTACAACCGCGTACATACATTACTCTAGTATTATTTGAAGAAAACGATACATCAATCAATCATTTGTGGGAAGAACATACGAAATTCTGATAACTAAATTGCAACGTTATTTCGACTTCGTAATATAATAAGATCCAAATTCAAAATGTATGGTACTATTTTTTAATGGCACAATTTAATATTTTCTTTTCGCTTGGAGATGATTTTTAGTTTGATGTAAAATGTAGAACTTATTTCAAATTTTGGTACAGGATTAGAGATTTCTGAGTTAAATTATTCTCTCTGAGCCATAAATTTTAGGTAATGATCTGATGAAAGCTGTGTGATCTGTCATGCAAATTATATATTTATCTCAGTTCGTGATATCCTGTCAAATGACTACAAGTGTGAATATAAATATCTGAATGAGCTTGATAAGGAAAAAAAAAAAACAATGTGATATTCAGTAAAAAAGAATTTCATGATATTGAATCATAGATATGAGTTATAGACAATTGTAAGATTGATTATTAATCCTTTCATCTGTTCGATTCGAAAAAAGACCAAGTTGAGCCGGTTCTGAGCTCGTTTGTACAAGCCCAAATATAGGCCGCTCATATGCGGCATACAACCGTGGCCCACCTTGCATAATTAAATTTTATAATTTGTAAATTAATGACTAATTATTTGTAAAATTCAACAACTTGCATGAATAATTTTGCAGTTTTAAATTAATTTTGTAGTTTGTAAATTAACGATTAAATTTTCATATATTCAAGTAAAAAATCAAAATAAAAAGTCTGTGAATCGACTCTGTCTGGCTCAACAAAGGCTTGGGCCAAAGCTGGGCCAAGCCCCATTTTTGGGGACGAGTCCAGCCCGAGAAGTCGAGCCTTTTTTTGACAAGCAACCCCAAGCTTGGGAGCCTGCCCAACTCGTTGCTAACACTATTCCGATATACTTTAGTATCAAATGTGCACCATGAAAAGCTTTTAAGCAGAAAACATAAATTTGAGGATGCCCGTAAAGAGGAATCAACTGTAATAAATTGAGGAAAAGATCGTGAAGTTAAGAAATTTATGTTAAGAAATTTGATTTTTGTCGTTGAAGTTTGACCCCAATTCCGTTAGAATTTTGGTGGACCGTTTAAAAAATGGTATTAGAGGGATTATTAAAGTTGGGCATTGGAGTCTTTAGAGCATCAATTTGGGTGCCTAAGCACCATTCAGGAAGAAGAAATAGATTTTCGACCGAAACTCAACGCTTGAGTACCATTGAAAGCGCCAGCCCGTCGCTCGCCTAGTGCTCAACACTTGACCGGCAAAAGCCTACTGCCAAAGCAATATTGTTATTCCAAAAAATATTGTTTCCGTTTTTGTCGCTCGTTTTTATCATCTCTCCATCTATAATATATTCCTTTTGACTTTGAATCAAGTCTTAGACTTCATCATATAAAATTAGAATATAATTCATTGCATCTCTTCTCTCATTATGAATAAAACTCTCCTCTACCTATAATGTTTTCTACGTTAATTCTTTGTTTTCTTGTATTGTGAACTTTACTTCGTATTCTATCATATCTCACTATTTTGTAACAAATGGCATTAGTGCGTACAATTACTTGGTTAAATTTGTTAACAAGTGGTATCCGTTTGATACGTAATTCTACACAACCACGGGCATTATTTTTAACATTTACAAATTATGAATTTGTTTCTTTTTTTTATAGCATTGGGTGGTGTAATTTACACAATGAAATATTTATGATTATTGGGGCCCAATTAAATTTCTTTACAACGTTCAGGTCAAAATTCCATCAAAGGCATATTTGCATGTTAAGTTCGACAATGGTCAATAGACGAATATTTCACATGCACCTCCTCTAGTCCTGACAAAGTCGACAAGTGACGACTGTCCACAGCTGAAGTTGTAAACAGCAACACTCTCTAACACCACCCCTATCAGTCCCATTGACTGAATCAACTAACTTAAGACACTTGAAAAGTAAAAAAACATAAAAATCAGATTACTGGCAAATAATTGTAGAGTTCCCCTTTAAAGATGAGAAAGGGAATTTTCAAAAGTCAGAAGCATAACCATTTAATTCAACCAAACACAACGTACAGGAAATCATTACAGTAAATTTGGCACCTAACTTATATCGTTGCTTGTACATCTCAAGTTAAAACTAAAACTAAAAGCTAAAATACATGAAGATTGAAGAAGACCAGATATTTACACACTCGACAGCACTGTAATGTCAATTTATATGTTTCCAAGTTAACTAGTAGAAATCGAGTCAAGAAATAACCTGGTTAGCATTGCTTAAGAAAGGTTATCGCATATCCTGGTCATAACCTGTTAATCCAAAAACAGGTAAACTGTAAATTTCAGTCCGAAGCTAGAATGTGCATTTAAAAAAAGAAAAAAGAAAAAGAAAAAGGGGACTCTTGCAAGCTTTACAAAAAGTCATCCCCATTTGTTAGCAGCACCAGAA